GKKGSCAGGGAGGTGGCAAAATCTGGCATAATATGAGGAATAATGGCAATGAGTTGCTTCTGAATCCCCGGGATCTTCCCCTGGGAAAGCAGGGTGGTGTTTGTATCACCTTTTTCATGTTCTCTCTTTGCTTCCAGGCCTTTTTCACCGAGAAGTATCTTCAGGAACATCCCGAAGATCAAGATAAAATTGAGCTGCTGAAGCAACAAATTGCCATCCAGGTCTGGAACTGGGGAAGGGCAGAGGTTTTTTCATCCTCATTTTTTTTCAGAGAGACAATCTGGACAGTGCCCAGTTGCTTTTTATTTTAAGAGAACTGCTGCATTCTAAAATGGTGGCCTAAAATATTCCACTTTATGCTTTGTGTTACTCTGGAATATTTGCCAAGGTGGTGGGGGCTTTTCCCTCCTGAGGATCCAAATATCTGTTACCTCTTCATGAAATCATCAAACTTGCTGGGGTGACCATTGGAATTGGTGTGTTTTGACCCTCAGGGAGGTGAAAATTGCCTTGTTTTCTTGGGATGTCAGTGGCATCCTGTGACATTTTACATATTCCCACCCAGCAGAGGGTAGTTAAAGCCACCTCACAGTCTCACAGCCCTGGGGGCTGAGAAGTGGTGCTCTGACATTTAAACATGGCATTTTTCCAAAGCAGAATAAGGAACCTGAGGGGGCAAGAGGGAATCATGGAATGGGTTGAGTTGGGGGTGGACTTTAAAGCCCATCTCATTCCACCCCCTTCTGTGGGCAGGGACACCTTCCATGAGCCCAGATTGCTCCAACCTGGCCTTGGAACTGTGGATATAAGTGGGGAAAATGGTCATATTTTTGAGCACCTGGAGCTCACACTGTCGGGTTTGAGTGCCACAGGTCAGTAGCTGAGCTTCCTTGCCTCATCACTGCTTAGTTTTGCCTCTTCAAACCCAAAACACGTTGATTTAAGTCCTTTAAGTGCATTGAACATTTTGAGCCTGGATGTGGCCTCAGTGCCATGGGCTGGGAACCACGGCGGGGTTGGACCAAGGGTTGGACTGGATGATCTCAGAGGTCCCTTCCAACCCAGCTGATTCTGTGATCCCATGAAAACCCCTTCTTGGAGCAGCAGGGCCGATTTATCTTCTTGGGACTTGGTTTTTGCCCTCCCTGCAGATGCCCCTGCTGGCGGAGGGGATCCGGATCCACGGGGAGAAGCTGACGGAGCAGCTGAAGCCACTGCACGAGCGGCTCACGGGCTGTTTCCGGGAGCTCAGGAGGAAGGTGGAGAAGCAGTACGGGGTCATCACCCTGGTGAGCCAGCCTGGCTGGGCAGTGCTTTGCTTCCAAAGTATCCAC